CAGTGCACAACCTACACCTTAAGTTGAATGCAGTGGCGCCCCCAAGATGGCCATTGACCCCCCCTCGTAGAAGGGCAACATTACTGTCTTTAAGAAGCTGTGGCTTTTTCAGCCAGCACAAAAGTAGTTTGATCTTGTAAAACTTAACTTCATATTCAAGCTGTACATTTGTCTTTCTAAGGAAAAGGACAATCAGCCTATTTGATGAACAAAGAATTGCATGACATGTAAGATACATAACATTAAAACAGGATCATTGTGAAGCTTAAAATATTAAATATGCTGATATTAGTCTCTGCACATCAGACAATTTGTAATAGTAACTGTAAAATAAGAAACCAAGGGCCGAATTCACAAAGAATGAACTGCGGCCGCTGATAGCACCTTGAATTGCACTTCATTTGCACCCGCAGTTTGGTCCGTCTTAACGTCCTATTCACAAAGGATATTGCGCTAATGATATACCAGCGCAAACACGCCCACAAAGTTTGGCAGCTGAGTGCAGTTTGCCCCTGATTTGCCCCTGATTGCAATAAACCACACACACACAGTGGCAGACTTTGTTTGGCAAAGTACTGAATACTGTATTCCTTCATAGTGATGTCTGCTGGTGAGTCAGTCTAACAGTGTCGGATGGGTTGAGGCTGTGGATTTGGCCAAGTTTGACCACTTTATCACTATTCCCTCTCACTTGTAGCTGTTTTTTCGTTATCTTTTGAATTTAATATGAATTATGGAACCATTTTTGTTCACGTTTGTTTCCCCTGTTTCGTAAAATAAATTATTGAAAGTTGCTTTTGAAGTGCGTGACAGAAGTGCGTTTTGAGAACGACCGCAGACTGTCACCTGTTCAACGCATCGGTATCTTTGGATGCCATTAAAGTAATAATGATTATAATAATAATGTCAAAATATTATTTACAGACTGATTTAACAGACGATCACTGCTGCCACGATCACTGGAAAGTCTGGGCGAGAGGCTTCCACAGAGGAGCACCCAGTTTGCACCAGCTTTCTAAAGACGTTATTTACTTCACTCAAACTGCGTGTGGCTATTAGCGCTGGTGTTAGTGAATTAGACGTTGTTTATCAATGAGGCTCATTTGCATAGAAATGGGCAATTTTTCCGCCAAATATATACATATTACCTCATTTCAATACATGCAAATAACACCGGAGCACCGAGACGCAATCTGCTTGGCAGCACAGTTAGTGGAGCATTTCACCCTCGTGCGTGCTTTGTGAATTAGACTGTATCTGTTTGCTCCATTTTTTACCGGTTTAGCGGCCGCAAAAGCCACGCAATCCTTTTGTGAATTCGGCCCCAAGTATTTCAGTGTGCGATTCTTACTCCATATTGACAAAGGTTTCAACTGGCCTATATACTTCAACAGCATAATCGAATTCATGAAGTTCAGTTATGGCTTTTGGTCTTGGTGTGTGGTGTTTTCAGAGGCTCCATCTGGCCAAACCTATGAAGAATTTCTGTGGGCGCCACTTTGAATGTATATACATTTTTTCCTCCCTGATGTTTCCACATCATGTGCTTAGCAAAGCAGAATAAGCCTATTCAACCCTATGGATGCTGCCTCCTATAAAAGTTCATCCAATAACTCTTGGACAAGACAGGCCTTGTCCAATGATGGGGCTCTATAAACCTAGTGACTAAAGCTCCATGTCTACACCCCATGCTGTGACACTGACATTTAGACAGTAGTGGCCCCACTTTTGCTTTGACTTATATATCCCCAGAGAAGTTATGGGCCCTGACTTTTCATTTAATAGTCTGTCCTCAAACGCATCACTGTCATTATTAGAGCAGCTGTGTATGGAGGACATTGGTGCCATTTTCCTGTGATGCACTCTCTTAGGTATCACTGGGATCAGAGAGGTTAGCCTAGAGACTACCCCACTGTCTGCCAAGCAGAATAGAGGCCCATGCTTTCTTCCTCTCTGGCAGTCAAGGGACAATGCAGGCTTTTTTTGATCTTTGGACAGGCCCACGGTCAGTCCCACATTGCTGCCATAGTCACGAAGCCAGGACATCAGCACTCACTCTCTTTGTCATATTGTAGTGCAGGAAGCTGCTGGTGGAGTAGACTGTCTGCTATCATATCTGGCTCAGACCTGATTCCCTTGATTCTACTGAGTAGCCAGCAGGATTGATATTCCAAATAGTCTCTCTTGTTACAGGGGAGCTCCAAAAAGATCCATTGTGTCCTTTCTGTCTGAATTGCGATCAAGCTGAACATGTCGACTGTTGCTAGATTTGGCTTTGACCATGTTGGTAAGAACACGAGTGATGAGGTTGTCAATCTACCTAGCAAAGCTCAATTCATTAAGTGACAGGAAGGTTTTGCCTGATTTAAACTCTGACAGGTTCACAGCAGGAAAGATATCAAAGGCAGGATTGTCCATAATTTTCATAGTGTATGTCCACAGGGATATTCCTTTCTCCTGTCCAGCTACAACACCGTGTAAGTGGACAGGCAACACACTATGAACCTTTTAAATACTTCGACCATTTTCATTTTGCTGAAGACTATAATGTCAGAGCCTTGATCTTGAAAGAATACTGCATCAATTTAGCCATAGCAATGTCAATTTAGCATGCTATGGACTGACAATGGACCAAAAAAAAAAAAACGAGCCAGGGATATTATCTTTTTTATTCCATCTATTCTTCATCTTCTTCAAAACCTACACCATAATATCTGCAACCGTTTCGTTTGAGATTTGGGTGTATTATACTTGTAGTGGATACTGTAGTTTTGAGTTGCTAGAGGTTTCACTACCCCTGTATATA